CTTTTTCAGTTTGAACCCATCCCCCCTTGTCCTATTACTACAGTCCCTGATGAAGAGTCCCTCTCCAGCATCCGTGTAGCCGCCTTGAGACACTGGAAGCTGCCCCGAGGTCTCCACGCAGCTTCTCCTCTCCAGGCTGAACAGCCCCAACTTTCTCAGCCTGTCTCCATACAGAAGGTGCTCCAGGCCCTGATCACCCTCATGGCCTCCTCTGGACTTGCTCCAACAGCTCCATGTCCTTTTTATGTTGAGGACACCAGAACTGGACACAATACTCCAAGTGGGGTCTCACGAGAGCAGAGAGAGGGGCTGGATCACCTCCTTTGACCTGCTGGTCACGTTACTAATGGTTAAAGATGGATAATTAAGTTTCCACTGATACCTACCATTGTGAGAATTCTGTAAAGTTCATCATGTAAAATATATCCAGTCTTATCTTTATCTATTTTTCCAAATGCTTCCAGCAGTTCAGATTTTGTAGCTGGTTTTTCTTCTTTTAAAATAGTACAAAAATCATCAAAATTCAGTGTAGTTGTTTGTGAAGTCCAGTATTTATTAACTGTCTTCTGAGATGGATTTCTCCCAGCCTGTTGAAGCACTGAACAACAAAACACAATATTAACTATATAATCCAGCTGTCAGTAAAGGAGTTTGCTGAAAACATCCTTTAATCACTTCCTATGTTCAGACTTTCTATTTACGCCCCATCAATCCAAGGGGAAAGTGGGTCTGAAGGAGTCGATCCTCTACTGATACAGACTGACCTTCCCTGGCCTTGAATTCTGTGGTTTGCACCAGAGAGGCTCACAAGCAGCCTGAGGGGCAAAGGAGTTCACTTACATCTTCTTTTCAAAGGAGTCATCAAACAGGCAGTACCTGGCACCCTACATCATCCCTTGCGAACTCCAATCCAGCACAGACTTGGTACTGCTGAGAATCACACTCACTTCCTTCTACAGAAAAAGGAAGAAGCCAGAGAGCAGTCTGAGACTTGTTATAACACAGCAATATGACAGGGATTGTTTTCCTTAAAGGCTCTGAGCTGCAGCTTCCACTTACTCATGTGCACTGCTCCACTATACTCAATGGGATGTCTTCCTTAAAGAAAGTTAATGGGTTCAAATCCTTAATTAAGCAAAATATCCACGAATTCAAAGACAGCTTCCTCAAGAGACAAGTGTAAAATTCAGCCCAGTGTCTATATCCCTGCTTTAATATCAAGAACCTATTATTTGTAAGCTACTACTTTATAGAATCCTAGAATGGTTTGGGTTGGAAGGGAGGTTAAAGCTCCTCCAGCTCCAACCCCTGCCACGGGCAGGGACACCTTCCACTAGAGCAGGTTGCTCCAAGCCCCTGTGTCCAACCTGGCCTTGAACACTGCCAGGGATGGGGCAGCCACAGCTTCTCTGGGCACCCTGTGCCAGCGCCTCAGCACCCTCACAGGGAAGAACGTTTGCCCAAGAGCTCATCTCAATCTCCCCTCTGGCAGGTTAAAGCCATTCCCCTTGTCCTGTCCCTACAGGCCCTTGTCCAAAGCCCCTCTCCAGGTCTCTTGTAGCCCCTTTAGGCACTGCGAGCTGGTTGAAGGTCTCCCTGGAGCCTTCCCTTCTCCAGGCTGAAAAAACCCAGCTCTCTCAGCCTATCTTCACAGGAGAGGTACAGCAGGATTATTAGATCTTGTTTCTACTAAGATCCACGTAAGTCTTTCACCCCTACTTTGTCAAGAACTGAGAGCCAGCATAGAATTTATCTTCAGCAGTATTTTATGTCACATCTATACATTTGAACTCATCACTTCAAATTACACAACATGGATTTCAAATGCAAAGGAAAAATTATACCAACAGACATACATTGTTAAGGCCAACAGCCAATACCCTACATGCAACCAGTATGCAGTATCCAACCACACCTGGCATTCTCTAAAATCCATTTGTTGGATCTAGTTAGCCTCTTAAAATCTTTACTGAAAACTTCCTTTCATCAGTTGCCAGTGTGAAGAAGGTATTATGATAAACTGAAATTAAATCCAAATGCACATTCTCACTGAAACTGGAGGGATGCTTTTGGATCCTCCCATATAATCAAGTTTTTAGGGAAACACAGGAGATTTTTCATCTCTACCTAGGCTGGCAGTTGGATTTTCAGCCAGCTGACCAGGCTGAGAGCAGATCTGCAGCATCTGTGAAATGAGGTAGTGGCATCGTTACAATTCTCAGCAGGCAACTGTGTCACCATCAGAACAAACAAACACAACCAGCCACCTTTGCTGTTAATCTCTGATTGAATGCCAAGGACTAAATAAAGATTTCTGCCCTGTCACCTCTGCAAACAGAGTCAGGAGAATACAGCAAAGCTCATGTCTCTATCCATGCAATGCCTGGGCATGCGGCAATTGTTTAAGGATTTCAATGTCAAGGTCAGCCAAGGAAGGGCAGTTTCTCTGTGTGTTTGTGTAAGTGGATAGCTGAGTTCCCTGAAATGTCAATATTGCTCAGTATCCACTTACTTTAACAGAGTATCCTTCAAATAGATGGCAATTTTGTATTTTTATACATCCAGGGAGATCAGCACTTGCCTCCCAAGTCTGGATTTCTCAAAGTTCAATTATTCAGCACCTTCTATGTATACTTCTTTACAGACTGATCCTGCTAAATACCTTCAGTAATATTACAACACAGGAAATAAAGCTACATTCCATGAATAAGTCAAACTCCTACAAATAACATTTTGCAGGGCCAATCTCTAGTGAATATTTTAGTTTAGAATTTATGCAAACATCATGTAACAAGGAGATGCTTGAACACTGGCACCAGCCATTTGATAAATGCCAGAATTCACTTAAGACGCAATAAAAGTCTATAATAAGTCTCAATGCTTACAAACTTTAAAGTTCTTAAATATCTCTAAAGAGACTTGGAGCCTGAGCAACTAATTGCCCTTTCTGAGTTGACCTTGAAACCAAAATGCCCAAACACATGCTACATGGCAAAGTAGCACATGGATAGAGATGAAAGCCAAAGCATATATGAAAGAGATGACATTTGTTCACACCACTCCTATCTTAAAATCCAGATTATCCAAAACTATCATTAGGATGCTATAAAGGCACTTTTATTACAGCTGAGAAAGCCTGGATAACACTAAGTCACATGGGGAAAGAATGTGCTCTCTAATGGGTAGAATTTCATGTACTGGTATAGGGAAAG